CTGCTCTTCCAGAGGTCCTGAGTTCAATTCCCAGCAACCACAGGGTGGCTCACAAACCATCTATAATGAGATCTGGTGCCCTCTTCTGGCGAGTGTATAAATAAATAAATATAAAATCTTTTAAAAAAAAAAAAAAAAAAAAAAAAGCTACCCTTACCCATAAGCCACTGCACTGACCCTATATTTACCTTTTTGAAAGATATTTTCCCCTTTTGTCTTTCCAGACAGGGTTTCTCTGTGTAGCTTTGGAGCCTGTCCTGGAACTCCCTCTGTAGACCAGGCTGGCCTTGAACTCACAGAGATCCGCCTGGCTCTGCCTCCTGAGTGCTGGGATTAAAGGCGTGCGCCACCACCTCAAGTCACTTTTGAGCTGGGCATGGTGGCACATGCTTACAATTCCAGCACCTGAAGGTGGAGAAGGGAATACTAGGAGTTCAAAGCCAGCGTTGGCTACACAGTAAATTCCAGGCCAGCCCAACATAGTCGATTGCAGACCCCATCTCAAAACAAACAGGAAATGGGGAGATGCTCAATTGGGAAAGTGCTAGCCACAGAAGCATAAAAACCTGCATCACTGCACCCAGACTTCACCACCAGGAAGCACAAGGTCCCAGGATCATCCCCAGCACCAGGAAGAATCCCACTGCAGAGCATGGCGGTATACCACGTAATCCCTGGACGTGGGAGTCAGAGGCAGATGATCATCTGTTCAAACCCAGCCTGGCTTTACATGAAGATACTGCTTCAAAACAACACAGTTGGAAGGACCTACAAATGACTCAGCAGTAAAGGCACGTGCCATCAACCTGACAACCTGAGCCCAAACCATGGGACCCACATGATGGAAGGAATTCCACACACTGTTCTCTGACTTCCACGTGGACACCACAGCATGTTCACATACACAAACACACACACACACACACACACACACACACTTAAGTACGTACGTACGTATGTATGTATGTATGTACATCTGGTATTAAACATAATATTCCAAGAGATGAAAGAGAAAAATCCGACTACCGTTTTATAATGCTCAAACGCCATGAACTGGATCGCACCGTAGGGAAAGATTCGAATCATCATGGCGCCATTTCCTTTATACAAGCCAAGGTAGCCTTCCTTCTGGGGAACAGCACGCAGTGTAGACAGTACCCCTATTTATGGAAGGAGTTGACAAGAAAAACACTGTTAAAAGTCATGACAACTCTGTGAGCCAGGCATGTGGTTCACACGCGTAGTCCTTCTTAACGGGTTCTGTTTGGTTCTCCTTTTTCTGTTAGCATGTATTTATTTACACTGCGTATGTGTTTGAGACTGTGTGCCCACGGTGTGTCCATGTCACTGTGCATGGGCGAGGTCAGGAGACAACCTTGAAGAGTAAGTTCTCTCCTTCCATATTTATATGGGTTCTGGGGATCCAACTCAAGGCATTAGGCCTATATGGCAAGCAATTTACCCACTGAGCCCTCTTGCGGGCCTTCATTTTTGTTCTTTTTTCTTTCTGAGGTGTGAGTGTGTGTGTGTGTGTGTGTGTGTGTGTGTGTGTGTGTGTGTGTGTGTGTGTTGTTTTGTGACAGGGTCTAACTATGTAGCTCCAGCTGGCCTGCAATTTACAGAGATCTATGTGGCCACCTCTGCCTCCTGAATACAGGATTAAAGACATGTGCCCCAGGAGGCTCATGGAGGAAGACGGCTTACTCAAGGTCAACCTAGGCATATAAGTTTGAGGCCAACCTAAAGAACAGTATGCCTCAATGCCCTCTCCTCCAATAAACATACCTAAATTCAAATTTTCATAGAAAACACTGATAGAGACTGATAGAGATTATGTAATTTCATGAGTGTTGTGTTTTGTTTTCTTAGAGAGGTTCCCCTACAACACCGGCTGGCCTCAAACAAACACACTACACAGCCAAGAATTACCTTGAAGTCCTGACTTGAAGTCCTGATCCTCCCTTTTTTTTTTAAAGATTTATTTATTATGTATACAGTGTTCTGCCTGCATGTACACCTGCAGGTCAGAAGAGGGCGCTAGATCTCATTTCATTACAGGTGGTTGTGAGCCACCATGTGGTTGCTGGGAATTGAACTCAGGACCTCTGGGAGAACAGCCAGGGCTCTTAACCTCTGAGCCATCTCTCCAGACCCTTACCTCATCTTTCAAGTGCTGGGATTATTAGTGTGCACCACTATGCCCCACCACAAACTGTAATTTCTCTCTCTTTTTTTAAAAAACAATTTATTTATTTTATCTTATCTATACAACTGTTTGGCCTACATGAGTGTCTGCATTACATGAGTGCCAGGAGCCCAAAAAGCTCAAAAGAGGGCGTTGGACACCCTGGAACTGGAGCACTGTGTGGGTGCTGGGACCTGTACCCAGGTCCTCTACAAGAATAACAAGAGCTTCCGGCCTCTGAGCCATCTCTCCAGCCCACAAGCAGTGATTTCGACATAAGAGTTAAACTGAATCATGTAGCTAAATCATATCAGTAATCTTTACTACTATAAAATATAAAGTTTACCACTGAGATGGACATGGGTTGCACAACTCTAATCCCAGTACTGGAAAGGCAGAGGCAGGTGGATCTCTGAGTTCAAGGCCAGCCTGACCTACATAGTAAGTTTCAGAACAGCCAGGGCTATGTAAAGAGACCCTATACCAAAAAAAAAAAAAAAAAAAAAAAAGCTGGGCAGTGGAAGTGCAGGCCTTTAATGCCAGGAGTAAGGAGGCAGAGGCAGGTGGATCTCTGTGAGTTCAAGGCCAGCCTGGTCTACAGAGTGAGTTCCAAGACAGTCAGGACTACAGAAAGAAACCCTGTCTCGAAATATCAAAAAGATTAGATAGATAGATAGATAGATAGATAGATAGATAGATAGATAGATAGATAGATAGATAGATAGACAGACAGATAAACAACACAAAAAAAAAAAACCTTGCCACCGCAAGAACAGCTATGTCTTAAAAACTTGCGTTCCCAATCATAGTAAACTGCACTGAATGAGCCAGAGGCCCCCAACAAGATGAACGACAGTAATCAATATACCTGGGCTTCAGGGTTGTACTGAGGATCACAAGATCCATTAGGACATGGTTCCTCAGGCTGGCTTACACACAGTTTGTTTCCACGGGGAAATAACAAGGAAAAGGAAGGGACAGGAACAGCAGGTATCTCTGGGTACTAGGTACTATGGGAGAGCTGACTGGCAGAGCTCATGCTTAGCACATGTGAGGCACCAGGTTCAATAATCAGCACCAAAAACAAACTTTAAAAAGTCAGCCAGGAGGCAGTGACACACGCCTTTCATCTCAACACCAGGGAGGCAGAGGCAGGCAGATCTCTGAGGCCAGCCTGGTCTACAGAGTGAGTTCCAGGACAGCCAGAGCTACACAGTGAAATACTGTCTCCAGATTCCTAGCCTGCTTGAGTTCCTGACTTCCTTCAGTGATGGACTGTGATGTAGAAGAGTAAGCCAAATCCACCCTTTCCTCCCCGACTTGCTTGTGGTCGTGGTGTTTCCTCCCAGCAGTAGAAACCCACACTCGGGCAGCACCTGTGACTCACCTAAATGTTTGTAATGGTGGTTGTGAGCTTGTAATAACACCTTCACTCGATCCAAAGGCGCAACTGTGGTTTTGGCACAGCACCCAGCAATGCCTAAGGGAAAACGGAAAGGTCAGAAAGAAACTGAAGACCATCGCTTCCTAAAGGGAAATCATCACGGGGCTGGTCAGTACCCCAACTATGGTTCAGTTTGGTCTCCATGGGTAGAACTGCTTATTAATAGTGTTATGCAGGTTAATTGGCCTCCAATCCCTGTAACTTAAAAACAAGTTTTAAGAGTATACAGCAATGCAATACCCAACGTCTGATGAGCAAGTTACCCAACTGGGAAGTTCTATTTAAAACTCTCTTCTTGTAGAAATATGTTTTTCACTAAAACATCGAAACCACCCTTGCCCGTGAGATGAATCATTCATCTACAATGCAGCAGTATACGTTTGGTGCCCATACTGTTGCACTGGTACACAGGTATGCATGGAAGCAGAGACATGCTCACAGGAAGTTCACTTAGATCCCGGAGTTTTCAGCCCACCAATAAGGATGGTTCAAAAATGATCAAATGGAGGACATGACGGCACACACCAGCCTTTGAGAAGTTAAGGCAGGAGGATTGCTGTGAGTTCCCTTTGCTGCAGATGCACACTTCCAGGCCAATTTGAACTACAGAGCAAGATCATATCTCAAAAAAATTAAAATAAAAAAAATGAAGCAAGTACTCCCAGTACTTGGGAGGCAGAGGTCCTAAGTATGGACCAAGTGTAGATTATGTTTCAGGGGGTTGGGGATTTAGCTCAGTGGTAGAGCACTTGCCTAGCAAGTGCAAGGCCCTGGGTTCGATCCCCAGCTCCTCAGCTCTTAAAAAAAAAAAAAAAAAGATTATGTTTCAGTTCATAATTGCTATGTTGACTTTAGCTCCAAAGCAGAAGTAGTCCAACTGTCTGTCCATGCTCAGATGTGTAAGTTTGAGGTCAGCCTGGTCTATATAGTGAGTTCCAGGACACCCAGGGCTACAGGGCTACATAGAGAGACCCTGTCTTTGTTTTGTTTTGTTTTGTTTCGAGACAGGGTTTCTCTGTGTAGCTTTGCGCCTTTCCTGGAACTCATTCTGTAGCCCAGGCTGGCCTCAGACTCACAGAGATCCACCTGCCTCTGCTGCTTGAGTGTTGGGATTAAAGGTGTGTGCCACCACCGCCCAGCTATGAGAGACCCTGTCTTAAGAAAAAAATAAAGGTGGTGGTAGAAACCACTTTAAATCCCAGCATTCAGGAGGCAGAGGCAGGTGGATCTCTCTGAGTACCAGGCCAGCCTGGTCTACAGAGTGAGTTCCAGGACAGCCAGAGTTGTTACACAAAGAAACTCTGACTCAGAAAAAAAGAAAGAAAAGGAATCTTAGGAGTTTGAGAGATGACTCAGCAGTCAAGAGCTGGTGACTCTTCCAGAGGACCTGGGTTTGATTGCTGGTACCTCCACAGTGGCTCAAAACCATCTGTAATTCCAGCACCAGGATGGCCTCCTCTGGCATCCACTGGTACCACCTGCATTGGTGTGAAGACATACATATAAGCAAATAAAATAAAAATAAAGCTGGGCGGTGGTGGCACACCCTTTAATCCCAGCACTCGGGAGGCAGAGCCAGGCGGATCTCTGTGAGTTCGAGGCCAGCCTGGGCTACAGAGTGAATTCTAGGAGAGCCCAGTCTACAGAGTTCCAGGACACCCACAGCTACACAGAGAAACCCCATCTCAAAAATCAAAACCAACAAAACCCTTTGTACAGACAAGAATGACACAGTGTGTACAACTGAAGCCTCGATTCAGTTCGGTGAGATGATCCATATTGGCAAGTACGGCAACAGTCTGTTTATTTTCAGTACCACATAGTATCTCACTATTGTATCATATTTACTTACACATCCCAGCATGGACAGACAGTTGGACTACTTCTGCTTTGGAGCTAAAGTCAACAGAGCAGTTATGAACTGAAACATAGTCTCCACTTGGTCCATACTTGGGATTGCTCCCAGTTCCTGCACACAAATATGCAGCTTTATAGATAACTGCTCCCGCAGCTCTTCTGAGTGGCTCTGCCGTTCTCCACCATCGCCAGCACTATATGACAGTCCTAGCTGCTATTGAATGTCCCCAAGCCCACAGCAAGGGCAATGTCCACTCCTCGTCTCTCCCCGTCTATGGCGGTTTCGACGAGATGTCTCACCTAGATCTCAGGCATTTGAATAGCTGGTCCACAGTTAGCGGATGTTCGGGGAGGACCAGGAAGTGTGGCCTTGTTGGGGGAGCTGTGCCACTGAGGGCTCTGGGGTTTCAAAAGATTCAAACCATCCCCAGTGGATTAAGATGTGAGTTCTCAGCTGCTGCTCCAGCCAGAATCCAGTCCACCACCATGGACTGCTGTTTCTCTGGAACTGTAAACCCCAAAGAGGGTCTTTCTTCTCTAAGCTGCTTTGGCCATGCATGTTTTATCACAGCAGCAGAAAAGAAATAAATACTCCATCAAACACCACAAAAATGCTCTAATGATAGCCTCCGGTCAGACAGTTACATCCTTCTCAAGCCACAGCAAGTCACCCTTGACTCCTCCTCCCCACACGTCATCTATGAGAAATTCCTACTTGAACCAGGTCTGGCGGCTCATATCTGCAGCCTCAGTACTCAAGGCAAGGGAGGCAGGATACTGGGAAGGCACAGGCAGAAGGAGTTCCACAAGTCTGAAGCCAGCTGCAGTTACATAGTGAGTTCCATGACAGCCTGAGCTAGCTTAAGATCCTGCCTCAAGAAACAAAAATATGGCCGGGCGCTGGTGGCCCACGCTTTTAATCCCAGCACTAGGGAGGCAGAGACAAGTGAATCTCAAAATTCAAGGCCAGGTTGGTCTACACATTCAGGGCTACACAGAGAAACCCTGTCTTGAAAAGCCAAACAAATAAACAAAATCAAACAGATTTGCAGGCTCATGCCTATAATCCCAGAACTTAGTAAAGGAGGAAATTCAGGTGCTTGAGATCATCCTTACCTACAAAGTGAGGTCAAAGCTAACCTGGGCTACATAAGAAACTATCTCCATGGGCTGGCAAGATGGCTCAGCATGCACGTGGTCTCGAAGTCTGAAGATCTGAGTTCAGTCCTCAAGATGCACATGGTGGGAGAAGAGGACTGACCCCCACACTCTTGCTTGGCACGCCCATACCCACAAAACATGCCAACAATAAACAAACAAACAAGCAAGCCAATGTAATGTTTTAAATATTATTTTGTACGTGAGTGCTTTCCCTAAACGTGTGTTTGTGCACCCCATGCATGCCTGGTACCCAGTGAGATCAGAAGAGGGCATCAGATCCCCTGGGACTGGAGTTAACAGACATTCGTGGGTGTCATGTAGGTGCTGGCAATCAAATCTGGCTGCTCTGAAAGAGCAATAAGTGCTCGTAACTGCTGAGCCAACTCTCTGGCCCCCAAATGTGATTTTTAAAGGCAGGATCTGATGAGATATGTCCCAGGGCGACATACCAGGAGAAAACTGGCACAAGCTGTCCTCTAAGTACCACATGAGAGTGGTGACATGTACACACACACACACACAGGAAACAAAGTCAGCTGAGAAGTTGGCAAGGTGAGGATAAATGTGGCCTGTTCTCCTTCTCTGATCTTTTAGTGTTCACTCCAATACCTGGCTCCAGGTTTGTTTTTATTAATAAGACCTTCTAAGATTCCTGCTACAGATAACCACCTGCCTCTGACTCCCAAAATACTGGGATTAAAGGAGTGTGCCACCATGCCCAGCCAACAGATCTTTCTTTTGTTCTCATACACATACACAGACACAGACACACACACACACACACACACACACACACACACACACACACACACACACACACACAAAGGCTCAGGTGTTCCAGTATTAATAAAGAGATGTCTTTCGTTGTTGTTGGTTTGGTTTGGTTTGGTTTGGTTTGGTTTGGGGGGCAGGGTTTTGAGAGAGTGTTTCCCTGTGTAGCTTTGGAGCCCATCCTGGAACTGGCTCTGTAGACTAGGCTGGCCTCGAACTCACACACATCTGCCTGCTTCTGCCCCCCAAGAGCTGGGGCTAAAGGCATGCGCCACCACTGCCAGGCTTATTTGGTTTTTCAGACAGGTTTTCTCAGTATAGCCCTGGCTGTCCTGGAACTCACTTTGTAGACCAGGCTGGCCTTGAACTCAGAGATCCACCTGCCTCTGCCTCCTAAGTGCTGGAACTAAGAGATGTCTTTTCAATCTGCAGAAGAAAATAATTACATTCTCAATAACACTGCAAATTATGGATACAATCTTTCCACAAGTCCTCATGATCTGGTTTTTTTTTAATTGCCAGTCATAAATGATTAAGTGATGACAACTCAAACGTTCAGTCATTGTGGGGAGGGGGAGGTAAGAGACCAAAACATCTGCACACAGAAAGAGAGAGGAAATCCGAGACCTGTAAAACCTCTCGTCTTGCAACCAACCACAGCCACAGTGCTTCTTTTCAAGCAGTTGCAGCTTGTTTACCCTGATTCCTGGAATGAGTTTTGGTCGTAGGCAGTTTTGCACAATACCCCTAGTCATTTTAGTTTTGTTTCTGAGACACAGTATCACTATGCATTCCTAGCTCACCTGGAACTTGCTGTGAAGACCAGATGACCTCAAACTCAAGATCTGCCTGCCTCTGCATCCCCAGTGCTCATCAGATTCAAGGCACGGGTGCCACCCCGTCCAGCTCATATGCTAGTCTATTTTTTAAAAGCTGGCCTCCAGAGATGGACAGTGGTGGCACATGCCTGTAATTCCAGCACTTGGGAGGTAGAGGCAGGAGAATCAGGAATTCAAAGCCAGCTTCAACTACATAAGGAGGCTGGGGTGGGGTGAGGTGAGGTGAGGTGGGGCTACATGAAATAGTCTTATATTCTCAACCTCCCCCCTCCTCTCCATCACACACACACACACACACACACACACACACACACACACACACACACACACACAGAGGTGGGGGGGAGGAGTCGCGAGTGGAAGCTGGCCTCCATCTCCAATATTTGGTTTTTCCTTTTAAGCAAACAGCAAAATCCAAGCCTACACTGACACTCGGGTTATTTGTAACAGAAAGGGGTGCCCATCATTGTCCCACCGAAGGGATCCTTGTCTTTTCAACCACAGGGAACAGGTGCTGGGTTCGTTCCTTCCAGGTCGAGGGATTAGACCGGACGGCAGCGGCCTGCCTGCTGAGATAAACGCCCGGCTGGACGCTGCAGCCCAAGTCCCGGGGCTGTCACGGCAGCCGCCGGCCCTGAGCCGCCGGCCGCCCGGCTTCTCCGCCCCATCCCCCGGGGCCCGGCGGCGGACACCTACCCCCGGCCAAGAAGGAACGCAGCCAGTAGAAGTCTCGGCGCGAGGTCTGGCCTCCGCTCCCCGCCGCCTGCGGCACCGCGGGTGCAG